TGCTCCTAAGGAGCAGAAGTTCAAACGATGTCAACTCTTGTAAGAAGGTTTTGGCAAGTCTTTCACAGTCACTATAGTTTTCTACATCCTTCTCAATCTCGACGACAAAGGAGGTAAATTTCTTTTAAAGTTTCTTTAATGGAGGTTCACCCATTATGGTGGTTGTGCGGATGAGAAGACGGTGTTTTATAATGATATCATCTTCAAGTGGGCCAAAAGCATAGCGTGCAGCCATTGTTTCTTCCTTACCAGCAACTTTCCTACCTTTTACCAACATTTAGATAGTTGCTTGTTATTCCAATCCTGCAATGAAGGCAACTCATAGACAACACCACATGTTAGAAGTTATTTCCAAAGAAGTGTACAAGTGCATGTATTTTTGCATTGTAGACTATGTTACATGGAGCGGTGACCATTGGTTCAATGGTAAACCTTGGCCTAATAACCTTGAGGTCATGGGTTCAAGTCATGGGATAACCACTTTGTGCACTATACTAAAGGTTAGTTGTGTACCCAATCTTTCCCCTCCCAAACACACATTAATGTGTACTAATTAGGCGTTGATTTTTTCAGTTAAGACTATGTTACATGGACTCTTCAAAATTAATCAAATACCTATGTTGGACACCCCTTGAACAAGGGTGTGGGATGTGTCCAATACTTTTCATTGGACACTTCTCATATGTTTGTATTTAACACTATCTTATATGTATTATTTGTTGTGTAATTAATATAAAATATCTTTTTGACGTTGTATGTTACATGTAATACCACTTCATCTCATATAATAGAATAAAAATATAAAAATATGACTCTTTTTTGCCGAGTCTGCATACCCTTAAATTTGAGATTTGATGAATCCAACCTTCATATACGCACCCACACCAGAGTCCATGTAACATAGGTTGTAGAAGCTAGGTCTAGCTTGGGTTGGCAATTTCATGAACTTGTATGTAATGTTCTAGTATAGGATTACATTGAAGACTCAAGGGCATATGCAACAAGTTTTGGAGACATCAAGAGAGTGATCAAGGCTAAGGATGAACTCAAGAGAGATATTTCATCAACAGAAAAGATGCCCAAGCATCAAGAAGGCCAAAATTTAAATGGTAGAGTTGTGAATCGAAGTCCCATATAGTCTAAGTTTAAAATAATATTATTTACATAAACGTGAGGGCACCCTCATCTCTTGAGCTAGCTTTTGGGTTGAGTTCTACCCAAGACCATATAACATGTTATCAGAACTAAAATACTTAGGGATGGGTAGGGTGTGTGTCCCTGGCCTACACGCTGTAGGCGCTGTTGAGTAAGCACGCTGGGTGTGAGGGAGGGTGTGAAGTGAAGTCCCACATCGCCCAAGTACTAAAATAATATTAAGCATATAAGCGTGAGGGCACCCTCACCTCTTGAGCTAGCTTTTAGGGTGAGTTCTACCTAAGACCGTGTAACAAGAGTCACATAGGAACAAGACTTAAGCCTTAGAAGGCATATAGGCTAGTCTTTGTCGACCAAGACTAAGATTGATTCACCAATTTGGTAAATAGTATCATCTCGTGACCTTACAAAGAAAATAACTTAGGGTCTAGTTCGGATTCTTGAATGACAAAAAATTAAATTAAATTATTATTATTATTATTATTTTTTTAAAAAGAAGTGACTTACGACCTTTTGAAGTTGGCCATGTGCTACTAGAAGAAGCCTAGTGGACTTGGTTGACTAACCTCAATTATGGTGACCAAACTGAGATCCAAAGACCAAGTCTACCAGCTTGGTCTACCATGATGGTCAACAAACTTCAAGAATGGTAATTTAAAAACAAGACCAATTATAGTCATTAGAACATGCATTTTATATAAGGATTTGCAACCCAAACAACCAAAAACTAAGAAGTAGGAATTTAGAGTTAACATATTGAGTGATAATACATCTCTCAAGGCTAAAAGAGCATAAAAACAAACAGAGAGAGTGTGTTTTTACATGAAGATGCATCTCACAAAAGAGCTTGGAATCGAGAAAACACTTGAAGATCAAAAAGACCCAAGAGAGCGAAGATTTCAATGACATAATATTTATTTAATATATGTATTTAGACACTTAATTTGACACAAATACATTTGTGATGAACTAGTGACTGTAAAGATTGAGAGCAAGTCTTGGAAAACTCGAACTACTTTGGTTGTTTGTGATACTTTGTGGTTACAGGTTAACGATGAGCATAGAATACCCATTATGATTTGTGTATCAAAGATGAGGTTGGGGATATTTATTTTATGGGTTATGTGATTGGATTCTTAGCCTTGCATACTCACTTATATGAGTGTGCGGCGTTGTCACAGAGCTTGGGGCGTGACAGATATGCCTAGAAAATCCATTGCTGAAGTTCGTTGAAAGGTTGTAGGCTAAGAAGTATGAACACGAATACGGACACGGACACGAACACGAACATGAACATGAACACGACATGGACCGAGCAACATAAAAAATTTTAAAAAAAGGTTATGATACGTGGGTGACACCTGCAAACTATATAAGTTTATATATTTATTATATGAAATATATATGAAAATTTAAGCCAAAATTAATAAATTTTAAATTTTAAATTTTAAAGGAGGAAAATAGATATAAATTTAAATTATTTTTGTATTATCATTGTATTACAAATTATTTTATTCAAACTTGTAATGTATTCCATGTGTAATTGTTGGAAAGACTCTGATGAGTGTCGTGTCAATATCAGTGTGAGTGTCAATGTCGGAGACGACATGTTACCTTATTACAAGTGTTTGTCTAAGAAGTACGGACACTTTTAAAAAGATGGAATATTCGTGTCGTATCTGTATTGGACACTAATACTCGTTGGACATTTCCCGACACTTGTCAAAACGTATCCTATTTTTTAAAACGTTTTTCAGATTCGGACACTCATGTCCGTTGCATAAACACACATGTCCACTTTTATAAGTTTGAACTAAATAACTTAGAATACAATATAATACATAATAAATATATAAATTATATATTTCGTGTGTGTTCCCCAATTGTCGTGTTTTGCATTTTTTAAAAAAAAATTGGTGTGTCGACATGTTCGTGTCATATTCGTGTCGCTTGTCCATGCTTCTTAGGTGTCTATGCTTCTTAGGTTGTAGATGACCTTACAACACCATTCGAGTGTTGTGACTCTTGTGAGATAAATCCCATTGGAAGGGTTCCTTTGGGGTTGGTTGTTGAGAAACTAAGTAGAAACCAACAAGTATGTTCTTGGTGAACTCATTCGAGTGAAAACCTAGAGACCACAAGAAAGGTTCCTTTAGGTCAGCAGTAGGTTATTCAAATGGACAAAATCAACTAGTGGGTAAGTGAACCCTTTCAGTGAAACTTAGAATAATCCTAGCTGAGGACCGTTAAGTAGCTTTGCAGGATTGCCCAACTATAAAACCTACAAGGAGGGCCTAGTAGGTTAGGTTGTTAGATTTACCAAAACCCATTTGAGATAGTGAAGTTAATCTCACTCAGCTCTTTATGTTCATAATTTCAGCCCAAACTTGAATTGAATCAAGAAGTCATCAAAATTCAACCAAAATAAATACACAATTAACATCAAAATCTTGCAAACTTAAATCTTAATTTCAAGTTTTGTACTTTACAAACTATTTTTATCAATATCCTCAAGTTATATTGTTTAATTACAAGTGTGTGTATGTGCGTGTGACAGAGAGAGAAAGAGGATGATTGAGTCACAGAGAGACGAGAGAGAGATGAGACGTTTAGGGCATAACAGGGGGAACAGGATTACAGTGAGGGAAAATTGGGAGCCTGTAGAATAAAAAACCACGTCGTTTTGTTCTTACCTCTTTGCATAACAGGGGGAACAGGATTACAGTGGGGAAAAATTGGGAGCTTGCAGAATGAAAAACCACGTTGTTTTGTTCTTAGCCCTTTGCGACCTCAATTGGCGACGGTGATATGTCGCAAATGACCTTCTGTGACGGTGTTATTGTAAGGGTTTGGATTGCATCCAACTTGACAGACAGTTTTGGACGTAGTGGCCTATTTTGATAATCGAACGTTTTGTTTCTAAAAATTTATTGAGTAAAATATTTATGTAAAAAAATTAAGATGATCAGACATTAGTAATTATATATTTAAATTATATTTGTCTTACAAAAATAAAATATGATTCGAATATATAGCTACTAATAGTTGATCATCTTTACTTTTTGTATGAATATTCTACTATACTAATTTTAAAAGTTAAATGGGTCAGATCACCAAAATTGATCTCAAAATAAGTGTATGTTAATAGATGCTGATTGATCTTAGCCAAATAAATATATGTATGCAAAAAAAAAAAATATTTTTTTGGCGCATGCCAAACAAGCACTAGTTGGCCCTAAAATACAACTACTCTCTCACAGATTGAATGCTAAATCCTTGTTGTAAATATTCTAGGCAGTTTTTTCATAAAAATGCTGCGACCACTAATGAATTACCCATCAAATTATTAATCAGGACTGATATAACTAGATTTTTACAAAAACTAACATGGTGCAATTTAGACAACTTGTACTTGAACCATCGTTTAAATATATTGACTAAACATTGCAAATTGTCCATTTCACTCTTTGGCTTCTTTCAATTATCATTTACTGAATTGAGATTTGAGAGCTCATTCCTCTCTTTTCCATTTCAGGTGAGCATCAGACAAGACATTCTTGTGCGCGCGCACACACAGAGACACCAGTAGTCATCTCAAAAATACTAGAGACCACAATAAAATTATTAAAAATTTTACACAATACTCACATGAGTACAAGACTCACACTTCTATCAGTATTGTATAACAATATTAATTATTTTTTTTATAATCCCTAACGATGCCCTAGTCGTCCTCTACCTATCATGCACTACTCTTCCTTTCCATTCAGTTAATTAAAACTACCACTGTTGTTGCCAAAAGTGAAATGCCATGCATATATATGATTCATTTGGCACAAATGTAATGAAAGTTCAAAAACATATAATCAATTCTCATTTCTCAACTCTCTAGATGCAATTCAAAATTTCCTATTCCTCAAAATCTTTTCAGCTTGATCAAAAGACAAGTGCGTAACACTACAAAAATTCAAATGCCCTAAATCTCGCCTATCCATTTCTAACAATTTCAGAGAATTTCTGACAAAGGGAAAGAATGCTTCAGGCTTAGTACAAAATGGCTGAAAAACAACAAACAATGCTCGCATATCAGCTCCAAACTGACTGGTACCCTTCTCAGAGAATCTATAGTCACTTGTGAATATGCTGCCAAAAATAAAACGGTCTAGCCCATCTGCGGCGCTTCTCCACAAATCTGAGAAGTCCTTTGGATTGAGACTCGCATTAATGATACAAAGCTGACTTCTCAAAGTATCCAATGCTTCAAGAATGTCAACAGATACAGAAAAATCCATGACTTTTGAGGCTCTATGTAGGCCATCATCTTCTTCCTCTTGCTCAAAGCAGTCCTTATTTTGGGCATACTCCTCAGTAAGAGTCTCAAATTGATGAAGAAGATCAGCAATTATTTCCATTAGCAAATGCGTCTCCAGATCGGCCAAGCTCTTTATTTCTTCTCCAAAGAAGAGAGAATTATCATTCATATCATCTTTTACAGAGATGTTTTTATCAATTTCAGCAATTCTCATCTCCAGAAAATCGACATCGTCGCTCCATTCTTGTAGTTTAGATTCACAGTATCGAGCACCATTGATCACCGCACATAGTTTCAGCAAGGAGCCATCATTGCAGTCAGTAGAAAGGAATTCAACTCCCTTGTACTGCAAAAACAGTAATTTTAAAAGGTACAAGAGGAGTTTAGCTGCAGTTGATCTGATGAATTGGGCCCTTGCCAAAATGCCTGGTAAAGTTTTGCAGCGTTCAATCATTTCCCAAGCAAGTTTGAGCGCAGATTCTACAATCAAGGGGGCTTTATGATCTTCCCTAGTATAAAGAAGAAACCGCTCGGTCGTTGTGTCAACAGCAGATCCAATTTCTTTTTTCGTGTCAGCCAACCAAGCCCTCTCATGCTTTGATTCTTCTTTTAGTTTCATTCTCCCAACCTTGAGCTCTATTTTGGACCAAATTTTGAGCCAATCAGGCCTATCAGAAAATAATGAAAACACAGATAAGCCTCTTGACGATCCTTCAAGCATTTCAGAGTCCTCCGTGAAGAGATAAGCTTCTGAACTTACAAGTGACATCATCTGTTTGTCAAAATTAACCATAAGGTCGATTAAATGAAGCCATGAAGAAATCATCTCCGACTTTTCCTTTTTCTCTTTGTATCTTTTGACAAGAACACAGAAAACTCGCTTTGCTAAAAATGAAGAAAGTGCTTGGACCATTACAGATATCCAAGCTTCTTTAGCACTCAAGCTCACCAGTTTTGCTCTATCAATAAGAGGCTGTAAAACATCATCAACTCCGCCAATAAAATCTTTGGTAATCTTGGACACAAGAGAGAAGATAAACTCGGGCTGATCAACCCATTTCGAGAAGTGATATTCTGACCGTGATGCAATAGGAGAAGCCAGTTCATCAATGGCCCAAAGCCCTGTATTCAGCTTCTTTTTTCCCAAAAGCCCAAGCTGTCGCTTTTCCCTCCGTGTCTGCAAATGCTGCAGAGCACAAAGTTCTAGAAAACTCTCAGAATAGGCCTTCTGTTTATCTACTTGCATCAGAACCAATGGATTTGGAAGGATAGAGATCTTCCCACTTTCTATTTTTGATGTAAAAACTTTTGGTGGCCACCCTAGAGTTGAAAGAAGAGCTCGGTGATCTGCAATAACTTGTCGCCGGAGCAAAGTCAATGTTTTGTCTACTCTAGAATCCACAGATTTCATAAGATGGCACCACTGAGGTCGGAACTTCACAGGACTGACCAACAAATCCTCAATACAATTCATGGATCTTACAGCTTGAAAGAACTTTTCTTCCCTTGATCCTTGGTCCTGCATTCAATGAATACATTAAAATTTTCTGTGCAGTCCCATCTTTGATCTAATAATGCAATCTGTAATCTTAATAAAGCAAAAATAGTACTGAATAAAGTCATTACTGTTGAAACTGATGGATTTGAGCAATTTGCAGCGAGTACACTTCCCCTTTTTTTATTCACAACAGATAAAACTGCATCTTCAAGATCTCCAACCATTGCTTCTAACTGTAGAGTGGTATCTGAAATCTTAGATGGGTTAGTAAAGACTTGCCTGGTAAGTTAAGAAAAATGAGAGCAAGTACATGATTTGCAAAACATCTATAATTTGGTTGAGCAAGACAAAGATCAAACTAAAACCATTGAGCATAAAAAAACTCTCAAGGAAAAATGAATTGCAAGAAAGAAGCAATTTTATTCACCCAAAGAAAGAAGCAATTTTGGTGGGCACATACAGAAATGACAATATAGATTAGATAGCTTTTTTACGATGATGAATGTCCGCGAGAAATTTTGAGTTGAGGATCTAACAAGCATTGACACATACATGTGACACAACACAAACACGCCGATAAAAAAAATCAAAAAATATAGGACATAACACGTGGGGGACACACACAAAAGATATACTTTCATAAATTCATTATATGTCATATATAAGGATAAACAATTATATGTCATGTATTGAATATTTAACTAAAAGATAATAGCAACATGCAGCACTACTAATTTCTAAAGTCTAAAGGAGAAGAATATGTAGATTCAAAATTATTTTATTCAGACTTGTAATGTGTTTCATGTGTGTCTAAACAATAGGCACGTGTTCCCAAAGTGTCTTAAGCATGACCGAGTCTAGAAAATTTTAAATAATAGTAGCACATATTTGGACATATGTCTGCTAGGTGTCAAGAAGTGTACAATGAGTACTGTGTAATATTGGTGTCTGACATGACACACCACTTCTTAGAAGTGTTTGTGCTTCTTAGTTGAGGATTACTTGGCCTAAGAACAATTTGCTAACTTGGCATTTGTTCAAATATATCATTAGCAAATATACAATAATATATACATATAATAATAGTGTTAAAACAAATAAGAAGTGTCCGATGAATAGTATCAGACTCGTATTCCACACCCCTGTCCAAGTATAGTGATCTGACATGGGTATTTGATTTATTTTAAAGACTCCACATAACCTAACGCACAATCATGTAAAATATCATTCACTTAAACATGGAATGGAAATGGTAAGATTGTGGTATTACATATAAAGCCAAATAGTAAAACAACTAATCCATGATCAAGAAAGTCAAACATTTCATTTGCAAATTCCATGGCAAAATTTCGTAACTTCACCAATAACTAATGAATTTTGGGTAAAGCAATCATTTTCTAAATCCGTCTGCTTGATGAAAATTTTGAGATTAACTTGTTTAGGACATTTCAAGAATTTTGTTATAATGAATGTATAATCATTACACTACAAAAAATATAATAATAAACAATTCGCACTAATACCCAAGTGATTTACAGTTTGGAAAGCATTTTCTAAAACACGGAACATTTTCGTTCTAAAATGCTGAATTTAGTGATTCAAAGCATGCCAATAGTTTTTCTTATTTCTTTATTTCCTTGAACATTTCCTTAGAAGGAAATGAATCAAATATTAAAGAAATGGACCATAATGCTCCTAGAGATGTGTTGAAAAAAACTGAAGTATATTTCATTGGATGTGTAATTCTAAAAAGAAAATTAGCCTAAAAGTATCTTAAATTCTCCTAATGTAATCTATAGAAATTTAGTCTTATCATACCTACCATGTTTTTATTCTCATTCCACTCACCGGAACAATCCACGTTCCAAGTAACATAGTTTTATCTAGTCTAAAATAATGCAAAGACATTCATATGAAACTGGTCTCATGCTATATTGATGAATGGGCAAACCACAAGGTCACATAATTGAATAATTAATAAACCCCTCCAAGAGATATTCTACACACATGCTTCTCATTGGTATTTCATTCACATAATCAAAATAATTAGGCTGTGATCTTATGTGATAATCTAATTTTGCCAGTTCCAACATTTTAATTACCCGATTTTGGTGAAAGCCCATCCCAAACTGGGGAAATGTAAACAAATGCTTCTGATTATTGTAAAAATTTTGGGATTTGATTAAAGATTCAGGAATTCTAACAATTCTAAGTTGTAGTGAATTCAGTAGCTAAGGGACAAAACACAAGAACATTTCAATGTAAAGTCAAGACCAAAGCAAATAGGACTTCTACTAAATTAACCATAGGAAATTATAATATTAGGTTGAAATTAACCATAGGACTTCTACCAACTTAAATTAACCATAGGACTTCTACTACTACTACTACTAACTTATGTTCAGAAAAAAGTCCTGAAGAATTCATCTAAATTAACCGCCGTTGATTTTATCATTATCATTTTTGTTACTACCAACAATATAGTAATTCATAGGAAATTATAATATTAGGTTTAACTCATACAAACTTATGTTCAGAAAAAAGTCATGAAGAATTCCATCTAAATTAACTGCCGCTGGTTTTATCATTATCATTTTTGTTACTACCAACAATACAGTAATTCATTGGAAATTATAATATTAGGCTTAAGAAGTCACTTGAGATTGTATAATCTAATGGTAAAAAGTGCTGGACCTTCTTAACCTTGTTGAGAAACAAATCCATGAAATTAAAAAACAAAAACAAATGTGTACCTACCTTGTTAACCTTGTTGAGAAACTAAAAACAAAAACAGAGTGCCAGACCTTGTAAACCACGTTTAGAAACTAATACATGAAATTAAAAAACAAAAACTAATCTATGAAATGGATGTGTCCACAAAATGTGTACTGTCAAATCGAGAACTAACAATGAAAGAATACTTGAGAAATTTACAGTAGTTTTTCATTTTAACGAAGAAACATTGAAGTCAAGTCAGTCCACTGAAGCAAACCCATCAATCAAAAAGACAAACCAAGAAAAGTTAATATTATGGCATTGTACATCCCAACCATGGTGATTTGTGTCGTCTTAAGAACCAAAATTTCAGAACCAGAGAGACTGATTGATGTCACAACAACCAAATTTATATACTAGTATACATATACATAAAAGATAAAAAGCATAGATTAAAAAAAAAAAAATGTAAAATAAGCAAAGCAACAAATGAAAAACTGACCAGCATAACTGCGAATATTTTCAAGTCGGTTCAATTCCATTGCAAGCTGAGGCAAATCCTGGGTCAGCATCTTCTGATTCTGAATCCCATCTGAAAATCAAACCCAAAATTAAAACAACAGAGTATGGTAAGAAGCCTTTCAATCAATGGGGTTTCAGTGAGTAGTACTGACATGGGGACATTGTTGTTAGATTGAGCTTGTGGAGAGTGGATTTTGCTGCAATTGATCGAGAAATCCATGAGATTATGAGTTTGGCTAGGTTTTGGTGTAGGTGTTGGAGATGAGCATCTAATTGAGCACACTCTGTGCTCAAATTCGCCTCGAGATCGCAAGCTGTATTGTATGGTAATAACAATGAAAATACCGATGATGATGAACATAGATTGTGGTGGAGAGTGGGGGTGAAATGGTGATCCAGAAACCCTAAAAGGCGTGGGGATAGCTCACTGTGATTCGGCAACTCCATTGCCACCAACCATCAAACATGGATGGAGACTACTGTCATTACCAAAAAGAAAGAAGGAAGTTGTATTATGGGAATTATAATTACAACAATCACCCTTTAATTATGAAAATAGTACATTTTCATCATTTGGAGTGGCCACACAAGAATTGTTTTTCAGGGTACTCTCGAAATCTTTTTCAAAAATTTAGAGAGTGATTGGTGGGTCGCTCTATTTACACCCCACCTGCAAATCATTAATTAATTTTTTTTTATTATAATTTTAATCTTAAGTGAAATGTTTATAGAGGACAAATTATAATACACATCATTTGTGTATTTATTATAAAGGACAAAAATGAATATAATATAAATCATCAATCTCAAACTTGTTCCTTACATATCTTCTTTGTCAATAATACAAAAACCCTAAAATCAAAACCAAAAATTCTTCAACAAATAATAAAAAATATAGTATTATTGAAGATTTTGAATGGATTCAATGAAGGATGCATCTGGCAACTTTGATTCGCAACAATAGAGCAAAGAAGAGGTTATTTTTTTGTTGTTTTTGTTTTCGTTTTTGTTACTTGCTGAGTGGTAAATAGTTAGTACAGTTCAGGTAATCAGATGTGGATATTATATCATTGTTCAACATACTACGATCGAACAAAATGCATTTGTTCAACACACTACAGTCGAACTTTATTTGTATATTCGGTTAACAAAAATCGAACAATTTCATTTAATTCAACTCTATACTGCCGAACATTTACAATTTTTTTCTTTTTTTTTTCAGAACGGAGCATCCGTGGAATGCACTAATGTTGGATCTGGGGGTCTTGTTAACTACACGAGTCAATTTATTACTAATGAGGTAGTCTCATGTTGAAAATTAGTATTTTTTTCTTTTTCTTTTCGGATGATTAATGACTTTATTGAATTTGACTTGTAGGTTTTTAAGAGCAAAGAAGAATTACTTGGTTGGGTACGGGACGTCGGAAGGAAAAATGGGTTTGTGATTGTCATTAAGACATCAGACTATGGTGGTGGTCATAGGACACCAAGGATATTTCGTGCCTGTGAGAGAAGTGGTCAATACAGAGCTCATAAGAAATTAGAAGGAGATGATTCAAGCAAAAAAATTGTGAAGATAACGGGTACGAAGAAATGCGGGTGTCCCTTTGAGTTAAGGGCTCGTAAGTTGATGGCTGATGATGATTGGATGGTAGATGTAGCATGTGGAATGCATAACCATGCTCCTGCTAAACATTTTGAAGGACATTCATTTGCAGGGAGATTATCTGAGGAGGAAACATCATTATTAGTGGATATGTCCAAAAGCATGGTCAGACCGAAAGAGATTTTGGTTACATTGAAACGAAAGGATGCTTTGAATGTAATCACTATGAAAACCATTTACAATGTGCGTCATAGGAATAATGTTATTGAGAAAGCTGGGAGATCACAAATGCAACATTTGTTGGGTGAGTTAGAAAAACATAATTACATTGAGCGGCATAGGTGTGACAACAACACGATGACTGTCATAGACTTGTTTTGGGCACATCTTGTCAGTTTAGATTTGCTCTGTTCATTTCCAAAGGTGTTGATCATGGACTGCACATATAAGACAAATCGATATCGTCTTCCTCTTCTTGAGATAGTTGGAGTGACATCCACTGATATGTCATTCTCCGTAGCCTTTGCATATCTCCAATTTGAGCGGATTGATAACTACATTTGGGTGTTAACTACATTGCGTAGTCTCTTGGATGACATTGCTATTCCTAAGGTGATTGTCACGAACAGGCAGCTTGCTTTGATGAATGCTATTGACAGGGTATTTTCTACATCTCGACATTTATTATGCAGATGGCATACTAGTAGAAATGTACTGGCGAAATGCAAGAAAATGTTTAAGAGTAAGGAGGAATGGGACAAGTTTATCTCTTTATGGAATTTCTTAGTACTCTCCTCAACTGAGCTTGAATACAATGAACATCTTGCTAGGCTACTTGCGGATTTTGATACATATCCTGAGTCAGTGCAATATGTGTCACAAAGTTGGTTAATTCCATATAAGGATAAGTTTGTTGCCGTATGGACAGATAGTTGTATGCACTTCGGGAATGTTACAACCAATAGGTAATATATATTTGTCTACCTTACACTATTACGCATTATGATTTTGATTATTTAAACTTGATTATGTTAATTGTTTCCATTGTATACAGGGCTGAAAGTGCGCATGCAAAACTGAAACGGCAACTTGGTTCTAACCAAGTAAATTTTGAGTGTTCTTGAACAAAGATCCATAGTTTGCTTAAGTTGCAGCATGTTGATATTAAGGCATCGTTTGAGAAGAGTTTAACCATTGTACAACACCAGTTCAAACCATCCCATTTTAGAGAGCTCCGAGGCAATATCTCTATTACTGCATTAGATCATGTCTTAGCAGAGAGTAAGCGAGCGAATGATGTTGGCATTGATGCTTCAGTATGTGGATGTGTTGTTCGACGAACACACGGGTTACCGTGTGCCCATGAGATTGCGGATTACATCCGGCAGAGTCGTCCAATACCACTTGATAGCATTAACCCACACTGGAGGACTCTTGAGGTAGTACAAAAGTTGAAGAATGATAAAGTGGAATTGAGGTGTGAACCAAAATTTGATCTCATCCTTAAGCGATTCAATGCATTTGATTACACTACGCAGTTGGAAATTCTGCATAAGTTAGGAGAGATTGTAGATCCGCAAAGTAGTTTTCTCATTGAGCCGGATGTGAAGCCCAACCCTCGAGGTAAGGGACATAAGAAGATAGATGTATCTACGCCTCGAGACCCATGTGCATTTGAGCTAGTTCAGTCTGGACATGATAGCCACTCACCTATGGGCACCCAAATCCCCACACAAGATTCTGTCAAAGTACATAAAAAACGGCCTGCCAAAGAGCAGGTACATGTAATCATTTTTCACTTACATTTTTGTTTATGATAAATTACGTGTTTTGTTGTTCATGTGTTGATGTTTTCCCTGTTGAATAGGTATATCGGACGCGTACAAGTACGACTTATTCATATGTTGATGCCCTTCCAGTTAAATTGAAGCCTTACATACATCTTATCAAGGATATAGATGCCGATGGCAATTGCGGGTTTAGGGCCATTGCTGGCTTGATGGGGCTTACAGAGGCTGAATGGGGTCAAGTTAGGCGTGATCTTCTACAGGAATTGCACACACACGTAGACCATTACACTCATCTATATGGTTCACATGACAGGATTGAAGAGCTGACCCATATTCTATCATACTTTGAGCCCAATCCAGGATATCACCGTTGGATGACTATGCCTGACATGGGTCATCTTATTGCATCTTGTTATAATGTGGTATTGTACCACTTATCTGCACAACAATGCCTTACTTTCCTCCCCCTACGATCAGTGCCAATATCACAACTTCAACGGTGTGAGATTGCTATTGGGTTTGTTAATAGGAATTGAGAGGGCGATTTATGATCCGGTGTTGGGCCGAGGTATCGACCTATGCAATATGTATTCTTAATAAAGAAAAAATAATACCGAATAATGTCATTACTGTTGAAACTGACGGAGTTGATCAATTTGAAGCGAGTATATTTCCCCTTTTTTGATTCACAACAGAGAAAACTGCATCTTCAATATCTCCAACCATTGCTTCTAACTGTTGAGTGGTATCTGAAATCTTAGATGGGTTAGTAAAGATTTGCCTGGTAAGTTAAGAAAAATGAGAGCAAGTACATGATTTGCATAACATGTATGATTTGGTTGAGCAAGACCAAGATCAAACTAAAGCCACTGAGCATAAAAAAACTCTCACTCCATGTTCCAAGGAAAAATGTATTGCAAGAAAGAAGCAATTTTGGTGGGCACATACAGAAATGACAATATAGATTAGACAGCTTTTTTACAATGATGAATGTACGTGAGAAATTTTGAGTTGAGGATCTAACAAGCATTGGCACAAACATGTGACACGACACAGACACACTTATAAAAAAAAAATCAAAAGATATAGGGCATAACAAGTGAGGGACACACACAAAAGATATACTTTCATAAATTTATTGTATGTCATATATAAGGATAAACAATTATATGTCATGTATTGAATATTTAACTAAAAGATAATAACAACATGCAGCAATACTAATTTCTATAGTCTAAAGGAGAAGAATATGTAGATTCCAAATTATTTTATTCAAACTTGTAATGTGTTTCATGTGTGTCTAAATGATAGACACATGTTCCTCAAGTGTCTTAAGCGTGACCGAGTCTAGAAAATTTTAAATAATAGTAGCACATATTTGGACATGCTAGGTGTCAAGAAGTGTCCAATGAGTAATGTGTAATATTGGTGTCTAACATTCTTAGAAGTGTTTGTGCTTCTTAGTTGAGGATTACTTGGCCTAAGAACAATTTGCAAACTCAGAATTCGTTCAAATATATCATTAGCAAATATACAACAATATACACATATAATAATAGTGTTAAAACAAATAAGAAGTATCCGATGAAAAGTATCAAACTCATATTCCACACCCTCGTCCAAGTGTCAGGGGTCTGACATGGGTATTTGATTTATTTTAAAGACTCCACATAACCTAGCACACAATCATGTAAAATATCACTCACTTAAACATGGAATGGAAAAATAGTAAAACAACAAATCCATGATCAAGAAAGTCAAACATTTCATTTGCAAATTCTATGGCAAAATTTTGTAACTTCACCAATAACTAATGAATTTTGGGTGAAGCAATCATTTTCTAAATCAGTTTGCTTGATGAAAATTTTGAGATTAACTTGTTCAAGACATTTCAAGAATTCTGTTATAATGAATGAATAATCATTACAGTTTATCTGCTACAAAAAATATAATAATAAACAATTCACACTAATACCCAAGTGATTTACAGTTTGGAAAGCATTTTCTAAAACATGGAACATTTTCGTTCTAAAACTCTGAATTTAGTGATTCAAAGCATGCCAATATTTTTTCTTGTTTCTTTATTTCCTTAAACATTTCCTGAGGAGGAAATGAATCAAATATAATGAACTACTATCTAAGAAAGCTGGAATTTTGGCGAGACATATTAAAGAAATGGACCACAATGCTCCTAGAGATGTGTTGAAAAAAACTATAGTATATTTCATTGGATGT